ACTACTACTACGACTACTACTACTACTACTACTACTACTACTACTACTACTACTACTACTACGACTACTACTACTACTACTACTACTACTACTACTACTACTACTACTACTACTACTACTACTACTACTACTACTACTACTACTACTACTACTACTACTACTACTACTACTACTACCACTACTACTGCGACGCCGCTAAGATCGCCAAGATGGCCCAAGGTGGGCCCGAGAGGTCCCAAGATTACCCCAGAGAAGTCCAAGAGTTGCTACAGGAAGGCCCGAGGGAGCCAAAATCTTTAATTTCCTCTCGGTGTTTGAAGGATGCATGTTTCTCCTCGGTGTTGGTGGTCCGACCGCCTAAGACGGCCCAAGGAGTCCCAAAGCTAGTCCCAGAAGCCTTCCAGATCGCTCCAGAACGGCCCAAGAGGCCTTCAAGCCAGCCCCAAGAGGGCCCCAAGACGGCTTCCAAGATACCTCAAGACTGCAACGATGACCTCCAAGACGACCAAGAAGACACCCAAGACGGCAGAAAAATCCACAAGAGAGCCGAAGGTGGCCAAAGAGGCGCCCAAGATGCCTCCAAGTCAGTCCAAGATGCCTCCAAGACGTATTCCAGGAAGGCCCGAATAAGCCAAAATCCAAGCTTTCCCTTAGGTGTTTGAGAGATAGTCGCATGTGCTTCTGTCCGGCCTTCCAACGATCCAAATCGGCCCAAGAGGACCCCAAGATGGCGTCGCCATGGCGGCCAAGACGCCCCCAAGACGGTTCCAAGACTGCCTCAAGATGGCCCAAGAGGCTTCCAAAACACCCAAGGTGACCTCCAAGACAGTCCTGAAGCGCCCCAAGAGGGCCCCAAGTTGGTTCAGAAAGGCTCACAAGACGGCTTCCAACGGCGACAGACGGGCCAGGAACGCCCCAAGACGGCCAACGAGGCCCCCAAGAAGCCCTGAAGAAGCCCCCCAGAGCTTCCAAGAGGCTCAAGAAGCCCCCAAGAGGCCTCCAAGAGGCCCGACGAGTGACTCAAGAGGCTCCCAAACCGCCTCCTCTTCCTCCTCCGGCTCCTCCTCCCTCTCCTGATCCGCCGCGTCATGCTCCTCCAAGCGTTCCCCGAAAGATGTCCACAGCAATTCGGGGAACATCTGGTCTGATAGCTTCGCGAATCTCTAGCTCCAAACGTTTGGCCATAGGGCTTCCAGGAGGAGGCGGCTTAGAAACGCCCCAAGAAACTCCAGCGAGGCTCCCCAGTAGCCTCCGACGGCGTCAGACGCGCCAGAAACGCCTCCGACGGCGTCGGACAGCCCAAGACGGCCCAAGAGGCCCCAAACACCGCCCCAAGAGCGCCGAAGAGGCATCCAAGATGGCCCCATGACAGGCCAAGAGGCCCCCAAGAGGGCCCCAACAAGGCCCAAAGAGGCCCCCAACACGCCCAAGATGGCCTCCAAGACGGCCAAGATGGCCTCCAAGATGCCTCCAAGACGGCCAAGAAGGCCTCCAAGACGGCGAAGATGGCCCCAAGATGCACCAAAGACGGCTCCAGATGGCCTGAAGATGGCCGTAGACTGCGGCCCAAGACACCTCCAAGACGTCCTCCAGGAGACCTGAAAGCTCGGAAATCACCTGGTCCGACAACTCGCCCGACTCCGTGTTCCCCGGAGGCTTTCGGAACCCACTCGGGGAACGCGTGGCCCGATAGCTTGGCTAAGCTCAAGCCCAACGTCCGGCCCCGCAGGCGCTTCCCAAAAAAGCGGGGGGTGGCGGTGATTCGCCGCAGGCGTCTTCGATAACGCCAACGTCTCCCTGTGCACTGATGATTCCTCTCCGCCCCCGCAAGTTGTCCCCAGATGCGCCAAGGCAGCGCCGAGGCGCACCGTCGCGACCCTGAGATATCCCGCTCTGATAGAGAGGGGGCCGGCGGCAGGGGGGCGCAGCCCTTACGGATATCATCATTATCCTGCTCCTCCTCCTCCCTCCTCCTCCTCCTCCTCCTCCTCCTCCTCCTCCTTTTCCCTGCTCCTCCTCCTCCCTGCTCCTCCTCCTTCCTGCTCCTCCTCCTCATCTTCCTCCTCCCCCTCCAATATGCCGTCTCTGGCAACCGAGGGCCACTGCTGCGGAACGGCACTCCGAAGCCGCCCCCAGCCTCGCCTACGCCCAGCAGAGCGCCGCGTGCTGGCGGCACGAAACGCAGGTGCACACCGCTCACCGCCCTCCCTGTCCTAAGCTTGTCTGGTGCAAGGCGGTGCCGCTCCCCTACGTACCTGCGTCGAGGCACTCGCGGTGTGTTCTGCCCGATCCCACCACTTGCTCGCGCCCTGAGCCTCTGCATGTCCCTCAGCCCTCAAAGCGTCCTCCTCGGCCACGTAGATGCACTTCACCAGCATCTCCAGTGGCAGCCACATGGCCATGGTGGTCATGAGCGCCTCGGGGGACAGGCTGCAGAGGGGAACGCATCTGAGCACCTCGAGGTCGAGTGGCAAGCTGGGGCAAATCTGGGGCCAGCGAAAACACACCGACTCGTCGGCACCCCGTGGTAAAAGGCAGGACAGGAATAGCTGGGGCCAGCGCAGTCTGCCGCACTCCAGGACAGCTGGGGACAGCGGCGGCCACCGGAACCGGCGAGGCTCTCCTGGGGGAAGGGGGGGGCACGTTTGATGATCGCGGCCGGCCAGCGCTCGCAGTGGCAGCCCGGCGTCGGCAGCACTCCGGGGCAGCCGAGGCCAGCGACGCTCGGCGGATCCGGCCCCTCCGGCTCCAGGGGGTCTCCCGTACAGGCCTCTCCAAGGGGCCTTCGAGAAGTCGGCAGCCGCCAATGGGATCGGCAGCACTCCGAGGCACAGGCGGCACTCCACGGCGTGTCCCTCTACGACCGAAGAGCGTCCGTCCCCCTATTAGGGGGCCATCCTGCAAGCACCTGTGCCCCAGGGCGGCGAGTCGTAAGGAGGGCCGCTGCAACGTCCGCAGAAGAGGAGGCGCAGCAGGACGAAGAAGAGATCCGCCCTACCACCCAGGCTCCGACCCGCCGGGGTGTCACCACCAAGAGCCGAACCTCCCACGCCGAATCGGCTCTTGAACCTCTCCTACTTCTACTTCGCGCCCTGACCTGGCCTTCGTGGCGGGTCCAGCCGAGGCGACGAGAGCCTACAGAATGCCCTAACAGAACTTGAGAACACCAGGGAGGAGGGAGGACGGAGGAAGCGAGGAGGGGACGCAGCGAGAGAGGCAGGAGCCCAGAACTCCGAGGTCGTGTTCTCTGCAGGGCGTGGGCCCCATCGAGCGCTTCAGTCCCATGCCCTGGGCAGTCTCGCCAGGGCCTGGACGCGACCCCGGAGGCCGGAACAGTGAGCAGGTGCTCGTCGTGCCTTTCTGGCGCAGCTGGGAACGACGAGGGTGGACGGAGAGAGAAAAGGCAGCCTGGGGCAAGTACATCGTGGACTCGACGCCATGGTCGTTGAGGTGGTGGAACCAAGCACGGTCCTGCATTGCAACTCTTCTTCTTCTTCCTCCTCCTCCTCCTCCTCCTCAACCCCCTCATCCTTCTCGGCATGACCATCGCCATCAATCACCAAGCAATACCATCAACCGTCAATCCTTATCATCGTCATCAACCTCTCACTCTTCTCGTAAACATCAGCATCCGCAAAAACATCAGCATCAACATCAACAACATCGTCATCATCATCGTCGTCATCATCATCGTTGTCGTCATCATCAACAACATCCTCGTCCTTGTCCCCCTTCTCCCCATCCTCCTCCTCAACATCATCATCTTCCTGGGAAGGGAGAGGCGGGAAGAGAAAGAGCGAGGGACGGGAAGGAGGAGACGGAATATAAGAGGGAGGAGGGGCACGGGGAAGGAGGAAGTTTGTAATGTTTGTCTATTTTTGGGGCTCCCAGGCAGCTCTCGCCGACACAGCCGAATCCGCCTCGAAATCCAAGTCGGAACGCGCTCGGGGACAAGTTCATGGGTCGACTATGAGGGTGGAAGGGAGGAGACGAGAGGGGCGAGCAGGAGAAGAGACGTGAGAGAGGGATGGGGGCATACACCAGGGTATACAACCCGAAGATAGAAGGCTCCCCTTGGGCCAAGCCCAGGCCCATTCGGTGAGCAAGCTGGCTCCCAAACAAACTCATGGAAGCGAGAGCTAATTCGCGATCATCATCCCCATAATCAGAACCCAGACCTCTCCGAGATCGCGTTTCGTTCAGACCTTCCGAACGGATCCAGATGTGGCGACGAAGGCCCCTCAGGAGGCCCAACAGACAACGATGAACCACACGAGCGACAAGACATCATATACTCCCTTGCCTCATCTTCTCGAGGCCCCGTGAACTGGGGCTTCGATGCACGAGGACACTGACGCACCCTGGAGAAGTGCAGCCGGGGGCCCAGACACGCTTCGCCTTCTCTGACTACCTACCAGACCACCCCAACCCAACCCGAAGACCCCAACTTCGGGTTGGGGGGGTACGGGTTCCATATGTGCGTTTCTCAATGTTCCCCGACCCCCCCCAACTGGAAATGGAGGGCAAATTGAGGCCTTCGGGTTGGGTTGGGGTGGTTTGGCGGGTGGTGCTTCTCCTGCCGGATCCTGAACGGACCTGGTTTTTGCAGTGTCCTGGCTTCCAGAGAGCCCTGATCTTCCCCCCGCTCTGCATGCCTTTCGGGCTCGCAAAGCGTGGCAGGCGTGGCACTTCCTCGACACCAGAGGGGGTGCGCTGGGGGTGGGGGCCCTATGCGTTTCGGGCTCGCAAAGCGTGGCAGGCGTGCGTACGACGACAACTCGCGACGAGGGTTTAGAACGCAGGATTGCGCATAGATGATAATGACAAGCAAACACATAAGATCAAAAAGCAGCATGTGGGGTTCCTCGGCAGCGTAATTGCAATGTCCTGGCTTCCGGAGAGCCCTGATCTTCCCCCCCCCATCTGCCTCGTCAGACCCTGCCCCCAGCCCCAGTGGGCCAAGCACCCTCATAGCGGCCTCGGTGCCACGAGCCTGCCCCCTCCGGGTGGGGGGAGCGCTGCCGCGAGACCCAGCAGGGACGGAATCGATCCCGACCGGGAGGAGCAGGTCGGACAGCGGAGCCCAGGCTCAGATGGGGATGGGATGCGTCGAACAATGCCCAGGATGGAGGGAGGAGGGAGGAGGGAGGAGGGGGGAAGAGGAGAAGGGAGGGGACGAGGAGGAGGAGGAGCAGGAGGAGGAGGATCGAGGCTGTCAGCGCGTCTCTCCCCGAGTGGAGACGGGGATGATGGCCCCCCAACGGTGCGGACCCGCAGCGGCGGGCAGGCCCGTCCTGCACGCAGGCCTCGAACACCCCCAGCCCCGCGTCGAGCAGGGGCAGCCCGGGCAGCCAGAGGCCTGCGTCGCCGCACCCCCCCCCCCGCACAGCGGCCGCCGCGGCCGCTCCGGTGCTTCCTCGCCGAGGCACGTGCGTGGGCGACGGGGGGAACAGAGCGAGTTTGATTTCTGAGACGTAGTTCTTCAAGTTATTGCAGGAGTAGAGGAATTTGTTTTCGTGAAGTCGACCGCGCTTTCGAACAACCATGCAGAGGGTAGTCTCCGTGATTCGCAAAAAAAACAATGCTCGTGTTTTGCGTTCTGGCCGATGCACAGAACCACGGCGACGTCCACAACCAAACGAAACCGGGAACCCGCCGGCCCTTCGGCGTGTGCGAGACGCTTTCGTCGTCTTCGTCGTCTTCGCCAGTTCCGAAAACATCGGGACGGACAGAAAGAATAAGCATCGTATTTGAGTCGACACCCCCCCCTTGTTCCCCTCCCTGACAGGGGGGGTGAAGGGTGGAGGGTGGTACGAGGGGGGGGGTCCCTGATCAGATTGCCGCCTCCCCCTGCCCTCCCCTTCATGGACACCCCCTGTGGACAGGCAAGACAGGGGAGGGGCTCCCGGGGTCCTGAAGGGGGGGGTCCCGTGGGAGGTCACGCCCGGGGTCCTGCAGGCAGATCCTGGGGGGGGGGGGCGCCAGGGCGGATCTCGGGGGAGGTTCCGCCTCCGGGGTCGACGGCACTGGCCGTAAGGCCTTCACAAGAATACGAACCAGACTCCTGTCACTGAACATTAACAGCTACTATAAATACCCGAATACAGAAACATGAGAGAACAGCCAAAACAATAGGAATAGTCAGGGGGAAGGGATTTGGGAGGTTCCATTGCCCTGGTCATGACATCCCCCAGGCCCAGGCTGATGCACGAGCAACGCTCACCGGCCCCTACCCATGGGCGCAAGGGAAGGCGCGTCTGGTGGCATGGACTCCCACGGCCTTTCTGCTTGACCACCCGTCCGATGAGAACCAGCGCGAAGCATGGGCTGTCGCGCTGGAGTGCCGGTCATACGTTCGCGCGTTCAACGGGCGCTCTCAACCCGAGTCAAACCTTAATGTCATTTAAGCTGTCGGGGAAGTTTGGAAAATTTCGGCAAACCTATGGCAAGAGATGAAACATGTACTCAGCTTGGGCTTTCGCTGGGAATCTGTGAAGAGTTCAAACCATTGAGGACAATCCACGCGCGACCAACAAAGCTGCCAAGAACGTGACTGCTGCCAACAAAAAACACTGCGGGCGACTCTGCTTTCTTCTGGCGGCCGCCGTTCCCGGAAATTCCCAACCACTCGGGTGAATACGAGAGAAGTGCGGAGCGCGCGCGCGGCGAGGGCCCAGGGATCTTTCCTTGCGGGCGCACGGTCTCCGCACGAGTCGAGGCGTCATGCCGTGTACCGTTCACTGCAGCATCCGACGGCGCCCGAGGACGTGCGCGCAGGGCGCCCGCTCGTGCGCGCGGGTATGTGCCAGCGAGTCTCCCGCGCGCGAGTGCCACACCGCGCAGCACCTCCGGGCGGCTCCGCGCGGGAGCGCGACACCCCGAGCGACGGCCATGGGGGCGCGGGGCCCCGCAGGGAGTGAGCCTTCCCAGAGGCCGAAGATAGCAGCCCCCTTTGGCCTGCACCCCCCTTTGTCCTCGCGCGCCCCTCCTCCCCGCCTCCGCTCCGTCGTGCGGCGCGCGGCGTGCGGGCCGGGGGCCCCGGCGGAGAGGGGCCCCTGGAGGCCGACCTCCGCCGTCGGGCCCCTGGGAAGCGCCGCCGGGCCGCGGGGCCGTCGGGCACCGGCTCGCGGTGGAGATCGGGCCCCCGTCTGCGGGTCGGCCCTCGCCTCCCGGGCCCATCCCCGGCCGGGGGGCGTTCTGAGCGAGAGCTCGGAGCGGAGCCAGCCGTGACGACGGGGCGGACCCGAAAAGGCCACGGAGGCCGAAGAATCTCGATCCTCAAACTTCGCCCCCCCCAGCCTCCGCGGCGCATGCTCGCAGTCGCGGCGTCGCCCCGCGACATCCGCTCCGCGCTCAGTGAACCTCCTCCTCATCCTCCTCCTCCTCCTCCTCCTCCACCTCCTCCTCCACCTTCTCCTGATGATTCACCCACCACATCCTCATGCTTCACCCTCCTCTTCTTCATCCCACTCGCCCTCCCCTCCTCCTCAGAGAAAAAAGAGAGTGAGGTAGCGAGAAAGGGAGAGAAAGAGAGAGACAACAAAGATCACGAAAGTGAGGGTGGGCAAGAGAAGGAGAAACAGGGAAATGATGAAGAGGCGCAGGATGGGGAGGGATGGGGAAGGGCGGGCGGCAAGGATAATAATGAGGATGGCGACCTTCTTCTTCGTCGTCGTCCTCCTCCTCCTCCTCCTCCTCCTGCTCCTCCTCCTCCTCCTCCATCTCAAACTCATCCGGCTCAGGCGCGTGGGAGCGATTGTCGGCCGTGGACATGGGATTGGTGCTCCTCGGCTGAATGCCACCCGAAGAGGCTCTCCGAGGCTTGAGGTGCCGCGAGGGTGACGCAACAGCGATGACAGCGCAGTGCACGGCCGCCAAAACACAGCAAGAAACCGAAGCGCCAGATGCCCTTGGTGGGGTCCGCCTCCCGCCAGCTGATCGAGAGCCTCTGCAGAAAGAGCGGACATCGATCTGGCAGGCGCTGGGGAAACCGCCCCCGCTCTCCTGGAGGGGGGACTTGGGTGATGGGGGAGGGGGAGGGGGCGGCGGAGTGGGGAGGCCACCGGAGAAAGACGAGGGGGAGGGCGGGAGGGGGCAGGAGGAGGAGGAGGAGGAGGAGGAGGACTAAATGACTGCAAGAATACCTTGTCACATGACTGCTTGACAGCACGGGCGCGCGCGCGCCCGCCTGGAACTGGTCGAGCAGCGAGTGGCCGCCGCTCTATCGGAAGGGGGCTGTGCCTCGGGCAGCCTCCTCCTTTGCCTTGATTCGGGCGTGCAATGCTGCCATGCGAACCTCGTAGGACAGGACAGAATCGGGATTCGAACGAGAGACGCTTGTGGCACTCGAAGAGGGCTGGGCACTATCGAGGGCGACTCGCTGAAGGGGCGCGACGGAATCGATGCGTCTGGCCAGCCGCTTATGCGGACCGACTCCCCTCCTGAGATTTCGCAGCACTTCTTCACCCTTAGACGTTGGCTTCACGCAAGGGGAGCGGCGAAGCTTGTCTATACGACGCTGCTGAGCCCAGGCCCCACACAAATAACATACAAAAACTGGAGCTGTGCAGTCAGGCCCCGCGCAGCTCCAGCTGGACATGCTCCCCTGGGAAACAGCAACCAACTTGTGGCCATGGGATTTTGCCTGAAATCTGTCAAAAACTTGGGCAGCCCTCTGCAGCCCAGCGTGGGCCTGTCACGTCCAGGCTCCAAAACGCTGAGACAATTCCTACACTGAGTGCCGATAGAGGTTCTGCACCACTCATGCCAGTTGTCTTTCATAGTGTGCCTCGACCGCTCGAACACAGGGAGCCTGGAAAACCTCTCCTCCAGCTCCAAACACGGGAGAACGTGGGCACACAACTTCACAAAGTGATTGGCCTGGGTGCAAGCTTCCTCTACTCTCACAGGGAACTCACGAGAAGCAGATGGGTGCAAGAGCGCAGCTTTTTGGGCGAACGCATCGGCCACCACGTTGGCGTCCGTGATACGCCTATCCTCGTCCGAGAGCGCCTGGTACTGCTCGCCAGACTTGTGGGCCTTGACGTGGCGGACGCTCTGGGTGTTGTCGTAGCCGCGCATCTGGTGGCCGAAGAACTGCACGCACGAGTACATTGACTTGGCCTGCAACTGTTCCTGCTTCGACTTCAGTGCCGCCTTCACCACTGCCATGAAATCTGCATATACCGTGGACGGTCTGTCGGCGATCTGCCCAACGAAAGCCATGCTCAGGAACTCCGCCATCGCTGACGACTGGGGCATGGCTCTGGGGACCGCGCCATACATGACTGCAACTAGTGTGTCAGCCGTAGGGATCATCAGCACCACAGCCCACCCAGCTCTCTGAAGAGTGACCAGAGAAGGCTTGCTGCAGGATCCATCAACTGCGAATTCCAACCTGTCGCCTTGTGCAAGTTGCTCAGCTAATTGCTCAGGTACGGCATCAATATCTTGACCCTCAGGAGTGACTAAATGCGCCTCAACACCTGGATCGAGCTCTGGGATGTCGTTGTCCTCGTAGATGAAGCAGGCTTGGGTGAAGCACCGCTAATCTGGATGATCAAAACCTGCTTGGATAAAAGATGCTGGCACCTCGGATTCGGCTCTAGCTGCAATCACCTCTGGCAAGGAACAACCAAACAGCCTGTGGTGAAGCGTATCTGCTGCTCCACACTTGCAGCGACCATCAGTTTGGTAACCTCTGAGACGTGCTCGCTCCTTGGTCCAATGGCCTTCCACCGCCGACGTTCGAACAAGAAATTTCTGATGCTTATTGAGTCGACGGCTCTTGGGCCGAACTGCTGCACGAACTAAATCAAATGAAACACGAGATCCTGGAGGCATTCCTCATTCGTCGGCCAATGTCATCTCAAGTTGACGCTGCATGGCTTTGCCCATGAGATCCTCGAGAATGCCTGGCGTGAGTTGCTCCAGGGGAATGTCAGCTCCTAGGTGATCTTTCCACACTGTACTTGACTGAATAGGCCAACCAACTCTGCGTACACACAGTGCTGCGCGAACCATGGGACCTCTCGCTTGCTTCCATTCCAGTGCTGCAACATCAAGGTGGAGTAGGGCCTTGTCCCACCATGACTTGAGCACCTGCAAGGAGACAACTGCTGCGTCTGGCTGCGATACTGCCATCCAGACCATTCGACTCCATTGCAACGCTGGTGCCACAGCCTGACGCAATGCGGGGTCGCCGTCTAATACCAGCTTTGCTGTGATCGAAACGCCTCCGTGGAAGGGTTTGACCTGCCTGCAGTAATCACGCCGCAGCTGCAATAACTCAGCGTTGTCAAGTCCCAATATCTCCACTCCGTAAGTTAGCGCTGGCCTGGCGCCAGCGCGAAAAACTTTGCCAATCCTTTGCTCTTTGAGCTCAGGCAAGGCCCTCTTGTACCGTCTCAGCTTGAGAAGACGCAGACGGTGCTTGGCCTTGCGCTTGGACATCTTCGCTCGGGTTCTCGGTGCCACACGAACTCTGCCTGCTGCCTGATCCGTGCCAAGATAGGTGGTCGATGTGACAGCCTTGTCTGCCGAAAAACCGAGCTTGATAGCAACTTCCTCGGCCAGTTCTCTCGCGTTGGCGAGGACTGCGAACTTCTCATTGATTGTGGCTCCAAGTGCAGCGGCCGTCTCCAAGAAACCTTTGCCAGCTTCGACCGCGGGTGAGATGACTGAGGACCTGTCGGCACTTTCGACTCCCATGCTCGAGTCGTCTATATAGCTGGCGAAGTCGACTCAGGGATGGAGCGCCACATAATAATCGCACTGCTCGGCTGCGTGCACTTTGATGGCTATGTCAGCCACCCCACAGCCAGCAGGAATACCGTACTCTGCATGTCCAGGTTGATTGCCGCGATGCTGCAGCAGTCGGATCAGTCTTGGCGCACGCCAAGTGTTGTAGGTGAGCTTGGCTGATGCCGTGGCCGCTCCGAAGCGAATGAACTTCTGCCGCAGCTGCGTCAACTCGATGTTCTCGTAATACTTCGAATAATCTGCTATGGGCGTGACAGAAAACCGATCTGAGGCTGCGCTGGCTTCTGTGCGAGCTGCTAGCTTCCATGCACGGTCGATTGGACTACGGCCTTTGCCAGCGCCCCAGTATTTCCTGTCCAACACCTTCATCAACTCATCATATTCGCATCGTCTCATCCTTTGCCAAACGCGGTAAGCCGACGCGTACAAGATAATGAGACGGTGGCCTCCCTGAGGCTTTGGCAACATAGGCATGACAATCCATGCTAATTGCTTGGGAAGCATCCCAAGTGATTCCATGGCTTCGTATAGAACTGCTAGCACTCCCAATGCATCGTCACTGAGATGCAACAAGTGTCGAGGATGAAGTCCGTCGAGGCCCGCTGACGCGGTTCTTGGGAAAGTGCGAGCGGCTCTGCGGATATCTTCAGGTTCCGCTCGCCGATGGGAGCTTCTGTCGGGAATCCAAGCTCTAGGGGCCTCCGTGGAACTTCGCCATATCGATTTGTATTCAGCTTCCATGGCAGCAACAACATCATGAGGATGAGCTGAATACTTCCCAGCGCTAGTTAAAACTGTGGTGGGAGCCTGTGCTTGTCGAACTTGCGTCAGTCTGTGAAGGCCTCGAAGTCCTCCAGCGCTGGCTTGACGACACCAATCGTTCCATCTCGCGTTGCTGTCTCTGTCGGCTTCCTGAAAAGCTTGGTCAACATTATCCTGCCATTCGTCTTGCAACTCACGTATGGCGTCTGCATGAAAGTGACCGCTGACGACTCGACGTGCTTGCTCTACACTGGCGCCCAACCTGCGGTTTAGGCCTTGCCCAGGGTAAGCGGATGACTGCAGAATGAGAATCTCGTCCTGCAACTTATTAATATCCTCGGGCTGACGGCTTTCACGCAGTTGAGCAATTGTTGCCATCATATCAGAAATCCATTTCCATCCGTCTGCACGCGCTTGGATACCAGGAACGTCCTTCAGCTCATAGTGGATGCCCACCCATCTTGGCTGTAAGAATTTTGAGTATGCGCCGTAATCTTTGACCTCTGTGCCAATAATATGAGCAATACGACGGGCTGCTTGCTCAGCGAACTGACCCCATGCCAACGTTGGAAGACCCCAAGCTGCATCTGGTCGTGCTTCTTTAGCTAGAACCAACGCCTCGTCAACATACCTGGCAGCCCGACTCCAGGGATCATCTGGCAAGTGAGGGCCTTCAGGGATGACTGGTGACAACTTCGGCGCCGCGCCGTAGGTCAAGACTTGCAAGGACTTGCCTACTGCCGCCATGTGCAGGTGAACTGGCCTGCGCGGCTTGATGTGCCACTCGGCGTCCACCGTGACGGTGCGAAAAAGTAGCATGGCGGCCTCGCTTAGCGCGAAGTAGTCGATCGCAGATGCTGAAGTTGGAGCGCGGCAGGTGACCTCTTTCGGAGCGGTGATCTCCACATGCGCATGTAGTGGAAAGGTCGACTCCTCAACAACATCTGTGCTCATGTTCCAGTCGCCTCCAATGAGTGCCGGATGTGTGAGCCCAGCCATCTCTTCTCCAACTCTGGCGAGAATGGTCGCATTCCTAACAGTCATGCCCTCGCACGTGTGCAGGTATATGTTAAATGTACTCAGGGTCGGCCAGCCTGGGACATCCACTTGAATGTGCTGCGCTCGATGTGCAACTATCTCCGATGTGTTAGCTGCTGGTGGCCAGCGCAGACCAATCCCAATGCGAGCAAAAACAGCGACGCCTGCCGTGGGAAGGTGACCTGCTGTGGGAGCTCCTGGTAGTGCGATGACTGGCCAGCCCATCTTTGCGGCGAAACTGTAGAGCTCCTCCACGTCATGTGTGAAATAACCGATCTCTTGGGCCAAAATGATCTTGGCCTTGCTTGCGTTGACTCGCTTCTTTAACGTATTGCGCCCCTGGTTGGCGTTGAAGGTCTCAATCAAATGCATTCGGAGAGCGCTCTCGGGAGTAGCTGGGACCTGACTGCGACCACCACATACTCTGAGGCTGCTCACTCTTGGAAGCTGATCTCGGCTGGCGTTAGACGAATGCTGCGCGCCAGATTGCCAGTTTGCATGAGCTGCTACCAACGACTGCGGCGACGAGTCCGTCGACGCGGACTGCCCAGGGACCCCCGAGATCCAGGGGACGCCAGTGATGGGATCGTTGGCATTTGGCCTGCATCCAATATCAGACTGACCATACCCATCAGCTGCAGCACTTCCACCAATTGCGGAGGCTGCGAGAAGTTGAACTGACGAAGCCGAACTCATCGAAGTCGGCCCAGTGCTGGAACTGCATGTGCTATCTCCTCCTGCGTCGAACCATTGACCTTGGAGGGTAGCGGTGAACGTGTTAGGAGCCAGTCGCACACTGACCTGGAGCGCCATGATCAGGGCTGCGAGTACGGCTCCTCTTGGCTTTGTGGAGCTTGTTGATGAGCCCGAGCAGCTTGGTAGCCTCGTCACCTTGGGCTGCGTCACTCTGCAAGTCGTTCCACAATTCTTGAGCTTCCTGCAGGTTGAGTTCATCGTCGGTGCCACGCTTGTTGCTGGCGTCGGTGCCCGCAGCGGGTGGAGGTTGCTGCTGCTCCGCCTGCGGCATGGGCACATCCTTCTTCTTGAACCTCTCTCGAATGAACTGCTGGTACTTGGTGAAAACGGGGTCGGCCGAGAACTTGGCATAGAACTCCACGAGCTCTGGGACGGCTTTGACCTCCTCGCTCTCCGTATCCAGCTTGAACGTCTCCTCATCGAGCGTCTCGTCCTTGACATTGGTCGAGGGCTGCTGCGGGTTGAGCATGGCCGCGCTCTCGGCGACCTCCTGCTGCAGTATCTTGACCTCGGACGTCTTGGCGATGATCGCACTCTCTTTCCCTGAAATATCTTGTTGTATCTGCGCCATCTTGCGCTGCAACTCTTCCAGCTCGCTCTGCTGCCTGACCAGCTGCTGCTTGGACTTCTCGAGCTTCTGCATCGCTGTCTTGTGCGCCGTGGCGGGGGGCCGCAGCGCTTTAGCCTGGGCCCGAAGATCTTCGAGCGCAGCCTTGTTCGCGTCGTGCACGGCGCCGCCGAACTCGGCAGTGTCCCTGACGACCTTCTCGTACACCTCGATCTGCTTGAGAATCTTGGCACGCTTAGCCTGAGCTGGGTCCTGAGCAGCAGCTGCTTCTTCTTGTGAATTGTCACTGTTGCCACTCTTGACTTTGCGGAGCTCTGCCTCTGTGGCCTTGAGGCGCTGCTCCATCTGCTGAATGTACTTGAACTCGGCGCTCCAAGGGGCTGGCGACGGGCGAAAACCTGAGCCGCCAACTCTCTTGGACGGAACGCCTGCTGCTGCTGCTTTGTCTGCCTCACGAGCGGCGGCCACCACCCGCATCGGCGCGCTGGCGCCGCACAAGCATGTGACTCGGCTCGCCCAGTTTGCCGCGCGGCCACAGTGGCTGCAGCCCCAATGCGGCTTGCGCGGCCCGCGCAGCTCTGCAGGGCTCGGCACCATGGCTTCGAAACTGCTTGGACAGGGGCTTGGACCGACAGGCACCTTCTGTCGGGAACGGGATCCCCTGAAATGGACTGGGCTGGTTTGGAGAGATGCCTCAAAGCGGAACCTCCCTCGCGCTCAGTCGCCCCGAAAGACTCGCGGTCGTCGGGACGGTTCATTGCCTTGAGCCAAAATGGCTACGGAGGAGGAGGAGGAGGAGGAGGAGAGAGGAGGAACAGGAGGAAGACCCACTCCGCCCCCGCTCCGGCGAACGCCGGCATGACGCCCTCCTGCGCCGTCGCGCTCGTGGCCGTGACCTCATCCTCCGCCGGCTCGGCCACCCCCCCCTGTCTCCAGCCTCCACGGAGGCCAGGAGGCAGGGGAGGAGGGGGTGCGAAAATCTGAATGACGACGAGCGAGCCCGCATCAGTCTTCGTTCGCAGGTTTCGTAGGATACAAACTCTTGGAAATTGCGAACGTCGTGAGACATTGAAGCTCTGCGCTGGAGTCTACGTTTCCAGGTTACCACTAGTTGGCGGTGAACGCGGGGGGGGGGAAATGAGAAGGGGCGGGCCTTCTCAGAAGGCGCGGAAGTCCCCCGGCCTTCAGAGAAATTGTCTAAACCTTCGTCGAAGACACAAGAAGCCTCTCAGAGGGCCGGAGGCCTTCTCAGAAGCCCCGCTGCCTTCTGAGAGGGCCTTCTCCTTCTCACTTCCCCCCCTCGCTGGCCTCAGAATCATCGCGCTGGCCCCACCCGGCGGCGTGGGGCCTCTGGCGCCCCGCAGCAGTCTCGACAGCCGGGCGTACGCCTACACCGGCTGCGGCCCGAGGAGATGGGGGTTGGGCTCTGCTGACAGTCAACCCGTATAATAAGCACGCGCGATCAGGATGGAGGGGCCTTGGAAGGCTATGTCGACACTTCGCGAGCGGGGCGCAGCCAGCGAAAGCGGCCAAGGATGGGCCGAAGGGGAAGGATGCAAGGGTGGCCTGGAAGAGTGGCTCATCGTTACTCTGCGGGTTGACTGCACTTCGGCGGCGAGCGAGGGAGGGGATTGAGAAGGAGAAGGCCTTCTCAGAAGGCGGCGGGACTTCTCTGAAGCCCCCGGCCTTCTGAGAAGATTTCCGTGTTCCCCGGGATGGCTTAGAAAACCGCGCAGGAGGCCGGGGACTTCCGAGCCTTCTGAGAAGGCCCGGCCCTCTTTCACTTTCCCCCTGGGCTCGCAGCCGACCTCTGGGGGGGAAGCGCATGAAAACGTCAAGATATCTTGCTGTAAGACTATTGGGGCACAAACTGGTTCTGTCGATGTGGGACTTCGCGGGTCGTCGGGGGCAGAAGAAGCCTCCGTGGCGCACCAGGTGGCGGGCTGGCTTAATAAGTGGCCTGCCCACTGTAAACGGGGGGGAGGAAGGTGCACCTTTCGTAAACCTTCGAGGGCCCCTTTAGGGCACCTGTCCTGCAGCCTCCGATATCCCTTCGCTTATCGCCCCCCATTGCAAAACGCCCGAAGAGAAGGGGGTCAATGCTATCTTTGTGGATGCCACGACAATGGACACCCTAACAGTCCTATCATTGAACCTTATGTTTAAAACACGTTTAACACATTTTTTCAGAATTCCGAAGATATCGCTAGTGAAACGTCCAGAAACACAGCGAACGGGACCTTCAATCCATCGCCTCCGAGCTCTATTTTCCCTCGGAGAGGTCCGTATGATAACACATAGAAGCCAACATGTTCTGGGACATCGCTATGACAGCCACGTGCAAAACCATTCAAACTACACAATGTGTTTGAAGGTTGCGTGTTAAACGGTTGGAATTCCGATGTTTTTGGGAACCATGACGCCACGATCTGCGTGAGGGTTGCCATCGATGTTCAGACTTCCGGAGATGTCGCTAGTGAAACGTCCAGAAACACAGCGAACGGGACCTTCAATCCATCGCCTCCGAGCTCTATGCTCCCTCGGAGAGGTCCGTATGATAACACATAGAAGCCAACATGTTCTGGGACATCGCGATAACAGCCACGTGCAAAACCATTCAAACTACACAATGTGTTTGAAGGTTGCGTGTTAAACGGTTGGAATTCCGATGTGTTTGGGGACCATGACGCCGCGATCTGCGTGAGGGTTGCCATCGATGTTCAGAATTCCGGAGATGTCGCTAGTGAAACGTCCAGAAACACAGCGAACGGGACCTTCAATCCATCGCCTCCGAGCTCTATCTCCCCTCGGAAAGGTCCGCATGAGAATTAATCTGTACATGCAAATGGGTCACGGAGTGGGCCTGTCCTCAGGTTCTTTGTAGCCCTCGGCCATCTTGATGAAGGATTTTCAAAGGCCCAGACCCACAAATCTGAAATCTGTTGAGGCTGCGCGCGGCTTCTCGCATGACTTTTTCGGGGCCTAGGAGGGCCCCGAGACGAGCCAAGAGGGCCTCGAGAGGCCCTCAAGATAGTCCAAGGAGAGCTCCAGGTCGCCGAGCGATCGGACCAAGAGGGCTCCGAGTCGCCTGTCCTCACCCCGCTCATCCTCATCCTCTTCACGCTCATTCCTTGCCTCAAGTATCTGAGTGCGTACCGTACCTGTGTCTCAAAGGTTTTAAGTTCGTACCGTACCTGTGTCTCAAAGGTTTAAGGGCGTATCGCGTCTGTGGCTCTAAGGTGAAGCGCGTGTCTTGTCTGCGGCTCCAAGGTTGAAATGCGTGTCGTGTCTGTGTCTCTGAGGTTTAAGTGCGTGCCGTGTCTGTGTCTCCAAGGTTTCTGTGCGTGCAGCGTCTGTGTCTCGTAAGGTTCAACTGCGTGTCGTGCCTGTGTCTTTAAGGTTTACGTGCGTGTCGTGTTTGTGTCTCTTAGGGTTAAATGTGTGTCGCGTCTGTGCCCCTAAGATTGAAGTGCGTGCCGTGCCTGTGCCTCGAAGGTGTGCGTCTGATGGTGCTTGGGGTATGGTGTTCAGAAACGGCAGCTGGACCACAGAAAACCCCAACGGGGCCACCAAGGCCACAGAACACCCAAACAGGGCCACAGAAAGCCCCAACGTTCTACGGAAAGCCCCAACTGGCCATAGAATGACTCTTTTTCTCGGGAGGGGGGGGGGGGCGCGACGCGACGCTGCGGAAGAATGCGCAGGTGAGGAGAAGGCACAACGGGATTCGACCTGCGACCACGGACTCCGCCTTCCGCCTCAGCCATGTGCGCACTTCTTGAAACCAGGATGGGCTGAGCATACTGAGTGCATTGGAGAGAGGTCGGATGTGACCATACAGCTTAGAGTTGAGGAAGATAGGATGGAACACAGAACTCTAACAAAACATGAAGACAGTGGCTAGGCAGAGGAGAATCGCGATGATCGCAGCGAGTAGGAGGAATAGGCGCAAGAGGATGCAAGAGGGAGGGCGCGAGTTAGCCGAACCTAACGAGGTATGCTAAAAGGAATAGGGAACAGGTTGAAGAAAAATATAAGGGAAAATCGGAATAAGACAATGAGATTTGCCAAGTCGCAGCAGTCCTCAAATGGTCGCATTTGATGGCGCATGGGGTCTACCCATCCGTGCAGAAAATCAGGCTCAAGCGGACGAAACCCATAACGATGATAGGGAGGCGCAGTCGCCAAATGGCCGCGTCGAGCTGCGCAAGTGGGCTGCCTCGTCTTGGCTTCCAGATGCGACCACAAACACCGCCGCGACAAGGTTGAGACCCTGGCAGTAGCCGAGCTCGGGGTCCTTCGCACAAAATAGTGATGCTGCTGAACCTTGCCCTCGGCACTCAACCGAAGACTTCAACAGCTTCAGCTAAACGCACCTCGCTGCCACGATCACAATCCTGAGTGGAACTGCTGCGGCCAGTGCAAAAGCGGCAACACATCAGAATGGTGACGAGTACGAGGGGCGCCAGCTAGACTCTCCACGAAGACGTCACAACGGTTGCACCTGCGCTCCCTCCTTGTCCTCTAGCTCTTCATCCTCCTCCTCTTCCTCCTCCTCAGATTCCCCTTGCGCCGCCTCCTCCTACGCCAGCTCACCCTCAGTCGCCTCCTCTGCACCCGCCAAAGCCGTCCCAGCAGATCTCGACGCAGTCCCCACCACCAGCACCACGTCAAATAAAACACCCGAAGGGCCCATCTTCCTTGCACGACGAGGAAGAGCGGGAGAAGCACCTGGAGCAGCAGGAGCAACGGAGGCATCAGCAGGAGCAGGAAGCGGAGGCGGAAGCACGAGGCAGAGCGCTGGGGGGGGGGAGGGAGGATGTGGAAGACGAAGGAGAAGAGGAGGGGGGGGTGGCAACAGTTGGGGAATAGAGTGGCAAGGAGGAGAACAATCAGACATGGCTGGTGCATTTCCAAGCTCGTTGTTCGGGCCTCAGTTTCGTCAGGCCGGTTGCACGACGCTCGCGCTGCCTGCGCTCCGTCGTGCGGGCACGGCATGAAGTGTACAAGGAGCGCAGTACAAAGATGGCCATGGGGAGGACGTGGACCGGGAAGGGCAGCCAACGAGGCGCAAGCTAAACCATGCTTTCCATGCACGTGTTGATGCTGTTATCCATCGTTCTGCCGTCGTTCCGCCTTCGCTGCACAACGAAGTCAGAACGAAAACGGTCCACGACATCGCCCAAACACCTTCCAGCCCTCACACTGCCAGCCAGAACGACAGCAGCTTGGTTGAGAAGGATTTGCACGCGAATGTTGCGGAATCTCGCCTTCCCACACCTCCTCCTCCCCCTCCCCCTCATCCTGCCCCTCCTCCACGGCTGGCAGTCGATCCTCGGCCAGGGAGCGCAGCAGCAGGGACCGGATCCTGCCGACGCAGGCCTGGCTCCCGGAAGGGCAGGAGAATTCCTCCTCAGGATAATTCCTCATGCTTCTCCTCGGCCGACTCCTTGTCACGCCACGACCATACCCATCGCCACCTGCACCACAATCACCATCCGCAGTATCTGCACCATCCTAGCGGACAGCGTCGTCGTCTCATGTTCATCATTGTAGAATTCATCAGCAGCATGAGCACAGCCATCATCAATATCATCATCATCATCATCATCATCATCATCATCATCATCATCATCATCATCATCATCATCATCATCATCATCATCATCATCATCATCAGCATCAGCATCATCATCATCATAATCATCATCAGCATCAGCATCAGCAGCATCATCATCATCATCAGCATCATCATCATCAGCATCATCATCATCATCAGCATCAGCATCAGCATCACCATCAGCATCACCACCACCATCGCCAACATCATGGTCGTCATCATCGTCATTGTCGTCGGCATCCTCTTCATCCTCCGAGAGTGAACCCGGCTGCGAAGGGCCTCGCCTCAATTTAGGAAAGCTCGGAGTGCGGAGGGGGGACATGCCGTAGGGAGCTCTGGCCTGCGTCTCATTTCCCCCCCTCCCTCCCGTCACTGCCCTGCCCTGTTCCATGATTTCTCCCCACCTCGTTCCTTCTCCTCCTCCTCCTCCGCCTCTTTCTCCTCCTCCTCCTCACCTTCCTCGTCATCATCCCCAGTACCACCACCACCACCACAACCATCATCATCATCATCATCATCATCATCATCATCATCATCATCACCATCATCATCATCATCCACATCATTCACATCATCATCCTCATCCTCATCCTCATCCTCATCATCATCATCCTCACCCTCATCATCATCATCATCAGCATCATCAGCATCATCGTCCTCGTCGTCGTCGTCGTCATCATCATTACTACCATCGCCAGCACATTCGCCATCACCAAAATCAACACCATTCGATGCATCATCATCAACATCATCATCATCAAACTCATCATCGTCAGCGACATCAGCATCACCACTATCATCATCACTATCGTCATCCTCGTCATTGCCATGATCATCATCTGCATCATCATCATCATCATCATCATCATCATCATCATCATCATCATCAGCATCGTCAGCATCATTATCATCCTCATCCTCATCCTCATCCTCATCCTCAGCACCAGCATCATCTGCATCCTGATCCTGATCCTGATCCTGATCCTCATCCGCATCCTCATCGGTCTCCCCCTCCCGGCACCTGCACGCCTTCAAGTGCGTTGCTTCAGCGCGAGCCATCACCACCAGCGAAAATTCTCAAGAGTCAACGCACACAGAAAAGGAGAAGGGGGAAGGTGAGCTGGGTGGGGGTGGCGGAGTGACAGGCGTATACGAATGTGCTGCGAGCATATATTCTCCTGCGGGGGGAGCATGATAAAGGACTTTCATTGACCACATCCACCAGGCGACGATGGCTGCGCTATCCCGGTAACTGCTGATCGCGGAAGAAGCGAAGCCCCGCAGCGCGCGCTGGAGAAGCGCCGTGCGAGCGAGGAACACTTCCCGAAGATAAAGACTGTACGGTCGGGCACGTTGGTTCAGCGTGTCGCGCCGCCAGTTCTGGCCCACCACGCTTCCTCGCGACACGCTTGCCACTTCTGGTCCCCGAGCGTCGACGTCCCGAGCTTGTCACAGCCTCCCGCCCCGCGGAGCGTAACGGCACGCGATCCGTTCGCAGGGCACATCGCGTCGCTGGGGCCGCCACCGCCACACGCTCGGCCAACGTTCCTGACCGCAGGAGCAGGAAGGGGAAGCTGAGAACGGTGAACGAGGAGGGGGATGAGGAGGATGAGGGGAAAGAGAGGGAGGAGGAATAGGAGGAGGAGGAGGACGAGGAGGAGGAGGAGGAGGAGGAGGAGGAGGAGGAGGGGGATGGGGAGGAGGCGGAGGGGAGGAGGGGGAAGCAGAGAAAAGGGGAGGAGTGGAATAATGGGAGAGTGATGAGGAAGGGGAGGACGAGGGGCCCCCGCATGGGCTCTCCAGCAAAGGGGGGGGCGGCGCCTGCAGGAGCACCCGGGACCCCGCCGTCCGCGGGACGTCAAGGTCGATCTGCGCCACGGCCTCGGGAGGTCGTCGTCATCCTCATCACCATCACTGTGATGGTGCCGATGTTGATTGCATCACCATCAGCATCATCATCAACATCATCATCATCATCAGCATCATCATCGTCATCACCAGCATCATCAACACATCGACCTCGGCCCTGTCATCGATGTATACACCTCTGTTCCTCACGACAACTTCATCATCCACCTCATCGATTTCCTCCTTCCCGTCCGCCTTATCCTCATCATCCCCACCAACATCATCGTACCACCACTGAACATCATCCGCAACATCAGCATCGTCATCACCGCCATCATAACCATCATAATCATCATCCGTTCCTCGATCTCTTCTTCTCTCCGTCCCTCCGCCTGCCTCCTCCATCCCTCCTCCTCCATATTGTGTTTCCTCCTCCCTCCTAATGCGCTCGCCCCAAACGCGAGGGAGAGGTAACGGCAACACCAAAAACACACGACAACAAATGGATGCATCGCTGGTACCAACCAATGTCCGACCAAAAATATCGATGGCTGCGTGTGCAACGGAATCTGCCGATCCCCCCTTGCTTGGAGCAAAACAAATACGTGTGAAACATTGGATGTCCCATCCATTTCCCCCCTCCCCAGGGGCCAAACATCCTGTCATAAGGAGGGGGGGCCTACGAGCTCGCCAACGCACCTCCAAGGCCCTGGAGCCTTCAAAATCCAATGTCCCAGGCCTCCCAGATCCCCCTCTACGATGGCCCAACGATGGTTCCTGTGCGCCAGAGCGGCCTCAAGAACGTACAAGGTGGCCTCAGGACCGCTAAGACGGCCCGACGGCGTCCACGACGGGTCCTAAGATCACCCCCAAGGCGGCGCCAAGAGGCACAACAGCATTGTTTTCCCATGCGGTCCGCATTCTCCTTGTTTGGGTGTTCTGATAAACCAAGACGGCCCGAATAACAAAACTCCGAAAATGCCCCCCAAGACTGGAGATGGCCCCAAGAGGGCCCCAAGACTGCCCAAGAGGCCCACAAGACAACCAAACTGGCCCTCAAAAGACACAAACAGGGCCAAAGAGAGGCCCAAGAGGGGGATCGCGTAGCCCCGCAAGACGGTATCCAAAGACGCCCACCATGCCCCCGAGAGGCCGCCGAAAGCCCCCCGATCTATGATCCCAAGACGCCACCCTAGAGTGTTCCGGAAAGCCCCCAAGAGGTGGCGCAGAAGACACGGATGAAGAAGAAGACAACTCAACAACAATTAAACGCATGTAGCACGACCGGAAGCGGCCAACGACATAAACAACACCGGCACCACGCACCTCCACTCCAGGGAACATCCGAATGGATTAAGCCTCTTGCACAACTACGCGTCAAACCTGTCTACACCGTCGGGGATCACACCGACACGGCGCCGACCACTTAGGCGAGCGGGAAAACATCAACCCTGATGGATTCGACTGCCTCAGAGAGGACGAACATCCAAGCCAAAAACATGGGTAGACGATATGGATATTCAACCGCCCGGGACGTCATAGCTTTTCCTTTCAAAAACCATAAGCTCCCGACCACCCAAAAAGCATATCCGCGCCTACCGTTCTACACGATGTGCGCAAATACGTGTTAGACAGTCGGACCTAGGACAGATCAACATCCCCCAAGAACATGAGACCTCCGCCGGCCAAAACGCACACAGTATCCAAGGGTACTTTCCCTAGGGTGCACAAGAACGGCCAACAACAACGAAGAACATGTGGGTCCCCTCCCCGAAACGACCTCGGTCTTATACCTCGGTCCGGCTGTAGAAAGAAAGCGCGCCCAGGCTCATGGACAGAAAACACGCCCAGAAACCACGTCCACAAATCGAAAAGCCACGTGGCTGCTTGACTACATTACGACCACATGCCCCTGTGGGGCGCGACCCGCGCGACGCAGAAAAAAACCCGCTGTGGGCCACAATCCGCGCGCGATGGCGCGACGGACAGGGCCCCCGCCCACGTGCGAACACCCTCCGCTCACACGGTGGAGCCCTACTCTTATGGGGGCACGGTCCGCGCGCAGAGCGTCCACATCGGGCGTGCTGGCGCCATGCAGACGCACCCGCTAGGACCACGGGTGAAGCTCAGTCGACTTGGGCGCACTGGCACCGTGCGAACGCACCCGCTGGGGGCACAGGCGTACGTCTCTGCGGGGTACGGTCCCCGTGGACGGCGCAGAAACACTCCCATTGGGGATGTGGACGGTCCCTCTGGGACTCGATCCGCTTGCTGGGGTGTGCCGAAGTGGGCGCGAGGACGCCGCGCGAATGCCCGCGTATAGGCCAGAAAGTATAACTCCCAATGGTGCACAACCCGAGAAAAGTGTGCACATCGGCGCTCCGAAAATTTACTCCGTGTCCCTCAATAGTTTTGGGGGCCCAAACAACAGATACCCCCCGGACTACAAGTACCCCTCCCCTGGACTACAAGCACCCCCCCCCCCCTGGACTACAGGTACCCCCCCCCCCCGGACTACAGGTACCCCCCCCCCGGACTACAATTACCCCCCCCCGTACTACAGGCCCCCCCCCCGGACTACAGGTACCCCTCTAGCCCCCGGAACTACAAGCCCCCCCGCGTTCGCTACGTAGTCTCTGGAAGCCAAAGCGGCCCGCCAAGATGCGTCCACACATTTTCACTTAGGCGTGCTAAGAAATTCGACATCGTTGGGCCAGCGGTCGGGGCTGAGCACTCTCGACGGACGATTGGGCACGGAAGCGAGAAGATAACGAGGAACGGCGCGATACATATATATACACACAAAGAAACAGAGAAATAAACAGGGGAACGGACGAACAAAGAGAGAGAGACAGAGAGAGATATAGGAAGAGAGACACAACAGACACACAATGATTGTCGGAATGGCGGGAAGAGAGAAAACGAAAGAGCATAACTAGGGAAAACGATGGCGGGGAGACGGCGAGATAGCGAGCAGCAGAACGGAGGGGCGGACATATGGGAAACTGTGCACAGAGAACGGGAGAGGGAGAGAGAGAGAGGGATAGCAGAAAAAGAGAGAGAGAGAGAGAGAAAAAACAAAAGAGAGAGAGACTGAGAGCGAAAGGGAGAGACGGAGAGAAAACAAGAGAGAGACTGAATACAGGGAGTGGGACGGGAGGAGGGAGATAAAAAACAAAATTGGGAGATACTTAGTAGAGACAGGATATATACATACAAATATGTACGCATATGTATATATATACAGAGAGAGAGAGAGAGAAAACAATATATATATATATATATATATATATATATTGAGAGAGAGAGAGAGAGAGAAAGAGAGAGAGAGAGAGACAGGGAGACTACAAGTACCCCCATGCGCGCCCCCCCCGGAATACAGGTACCACCCCCCGGACTACAGGTACCCCCCCCCCGGACTACAAGTACCCCCCCCCGGACTACAGGCACCCCCCCCCGGACTACAAGCACCCCCCCCCCGGACTATAGGTGCCCCCCCCGGACTACAGGTGCCCCCCAAACTATTGAGGGACACAGAGTATTCCGATTTGAGAACCACGGCGCCGCGCGAATGCAGCGCAAACGCTATGCTGGAAGGGCGCGGCAATTCATGCCCCCCGGATGGCGAGAGCAGCCGCGCCCCCGCGCGAACCCTGATCCCGAGCGGGGCGCGCTCCCGTTGACAATGGCTCACCCGGGAAACCGTTTCTCGCACAGGAAGTCCTGAACGGTCTGCCCATCGGCGGCTCCTGCGGACGAGGCCCAGAACCACCGAGAAACCGTTTTTGATAGGAAATTCTAGCCGGTTTGCCCATGCTCGGTTTCTTCGGAATGGGCCCGAAGACCTCGAGAATGATACTTGTTGCTGAGAATCCTGTGCGGTTTGCGCACTTTCGGGTCGTTCGAACCGGACCCGACATTGTTTTCTGGCACAAGTCCTATGGCATTTGGCTCTTTCAGGTCGGCCGGTCAACTTTTCGGGTCGTCGTATGACCGAACCCGAAAACTTTTTTCGAGGAAGTATGCCGTTTGCTCATTTTCGGGTCAGCACACCCTTTGGGATTTAAAATTCTAATTTGTGAAAGGGGAGCCCGATCCCGCGACACCAGGCGGGGATTAGGCTCTGCCCTTGCATTGTACTGGGCCCCTCCAGCCAAACGGGGCGCTGGGCTGCCCATCGGCGCGCCGGCTCTGCCCTCGCGACATCGCCCCCATCCGCCCTCGGGCCCCGCGGGTCTGTCCTGCGCGCGCCACCCCAGATGGCCGCGGCGAGCGCGGTGGCGAAATTGGGGAAACTTTCGGATCGGCGCAGTATGCCAACGCACCCAGTTGGGCCGCAGGTTGAAGCACCAATGGGGCACGATCGGTGTGAAAGGAGTGCCTAAGTAGGCACGGGGGCGCTATGCGAACGCACACCCCTTGGGGTCGAAGGTGGAGCTCCATACGGGACACGAAACGTGGGAGGAGAAACCAAACATCACAATAAGGAGAAGAGGAAGGCAGAGGCAGGGGGAAGGAAAGTGGGTGTGGCGGGAGGTAACAGGTGGAGCACAGCACTGCGAATGCAAAGCGAAAAGCCAACTGCACAGCACAGGAGGGATGGAAGTGGGGCGCGTGACTGACGGTGCTGTCTGGCAGCGGACAGCGGGGTGGCCGGATGAAATGGAACAGGGACCAGAGCCGAGCGGGCTTCAAATTTGGACCAATTTGTCCGTCTTCCTCGCTCCCCAATTCATCGTGTTCCCCCGCCTCCTCCCCTTCTGCTGCCTCCGTGGTTCCGGACCAGATACTCTCAGCGGTGTAGCGTAGGCTGTCCTGGGCGGCGGGGGACGAGGACCCCACACGCAACTATACACGAACAACGCATTGGCGGTAACCGGACCTCAGAAACGGCAGGAGGGCCGACGCCTTCGCGTCTACAGCGCGGTCAAGCTCGTACGACCGCCGCGACGCGGGGTCGAGGTTGAACCTCGGGGCGGAATCCAGCGGAAGAAAGCAGCGCGATAGGCGGAAATGATGTGGGGAAAGAGGGGGGAGAGAAGGAGCGGTGGGACGGGATCTAGAAGGAGGAGGAGGAGAAGCGGTGGGACGGGTTCTAGGAGGGGGAGGAGGAGGAGGAGGAGGAGGAGGAGGAGGAGGAGGAGGAGGAGGAGGAGGAGAGGAGGAGGAGGAAGAGGAGGAGGAGGAGGAGGAGGAGGGAGGAGGAGGAGGGGGACGTCGCATGGAAGCAGGAAGAGAAACAGAACGGGGAGAGGAGAGAGGAGAGAGAGAAGAGCGCAGATCGGGCGCGGGGACGCCAAGGTTTGCCAAACTGGGCGTATGGAAGACCTGCGAACGCACCCGCTGGGGCCATGGGTGGCGCTCCCACTTAGGCACGATCCGCGTGCAGCGTGTGTCGACACGGGCGCGGGACGCCATGTGGGCGCACCCATTGGGGCCATGGGTGGAGCTACCAGTGGGGCACGATCTGCGTGAGGGGTGTGCCGAAATGGACGCGTGGGCGCCAAGCGAACGCACCCACTGGGGCCAAAGGTGGAGCTCCCAATTGGGGCACGATCCGTGCGAAGGGCGTGCCGACACGAGCGGAGGTGACGCCATGTGGGCGCACGCACTGAGGCCACTGGTGGAGCCCCCCTTGTGGGGCACAACCTTTGTGCCGAAATGAGCGGAGCGGGGGCCAAGTGAGCGTTCCTGCTGGGGGGGGGCCTACAAATAGGGTAATAGATGGACCTCCCCTGGAGGGCACGGCCCCCTTTGAAACCCCCGCCCCCCAAAAAAAACTGAGGATTACTGGATCTCCCTAAGGAGCACGGCCCCCTTTGAAACCCCCGCCCACCTAAAAAAACTGACGATTACTCGACGCGGAGATCCCTCTGGCCTTCCGCCAGCTTCCGCCGGGGGAAGCGGCCTTGTGCTACGTCCGCCGCACTCCTCCGGCCTACCGCCGAGGAAGAGATGCCAACTCCTTCGACCCCCGAAGGCACGGCCCTTTCTTGATGGCCCAGTGTTCCGCCACCACTGCCACATGCAGGACGAGGGAGAAGGGAGGATAGGGAGGCCCTCCTCCTCTCCTCCTCCCCCCCCTCCTCCTCCTCCTCCTCCTCCTCCTCCTCCCTCTCCTGCCTACCGTAGCGGTGGTGGAGCATCGGTCCATCAAGCGGGAGCGTATAGAGACCACGGCGTGTGGCGACGGAGCGCTCCCGGGCGGCTCCCCCCCTGGACAAACCCAGGAGTGCAGTGCCTGCTGCATCGGCATGGCCCTTGGGGCTCTGGACTGGAGAGCTGTCGTTGAGCATGGACCGACCGTCCCGGCATTCCTATAGTCCTACCACGGAATGTTCTTCGAACCCAAAAATGTTCTTAGAACAAGAACAAAGTTCTTAGAACATAAACCCGATGTGTTAAAACAAGACAATCTCAACAAGAAATGTTCTAAGAACATTCCGTGGAAGCCACACGAAAGGTTCCTAGAACATTGTTTGGTGGGGCTATAGGCGAGCCAGGACGCTTCGCCACTGCTTTTGACGTCGGGACGGCCCACGCCAGCGCTTCACTCGTGAAGAACCACGACCTGGGCGCGAATTGCGTTTCCTTGACGCCGGATCCGGCTTAGAAGGCTGCGTGATTTTGGATCCGGCTTAAAAACACGCAGTACTCGAGTCGGCCTGAGAGAACTGCGTGTTTTTCAAGCTGGATCCGGCCTCAAAAACACGCAGTTCTTTCTCGGGAGTGGCTAAAAGTGGGGTTCTGGGCCAGGTGGGACTGGCCGAGAAAATTGCCTGAGACTCGCTTATGAAAGGCTGGCAGCTTCGTGCCTGAGCAACCTAAACTACGCAATGCGCAATCCGTTATCCACCCGAATGCTCGCGTCGCGTACGTCTGGGGTCCTCCCTGGGCTTCTGGGGCCCTCTTGGGGCTATTGAGAAGGGGTCGTGGGTCCGTAGTGGGTCCCTATCGGGGTTCTCTGGAAGGATCTTCGTCCCCCCTTGGGGCCCTCGCGGGGCTCTCTTCGAGCTCTACGAGCGGCCTTGGAGGGGCTCTTGGAGCCATCTGGGACATTGCGCACTGATTCCCGCGGGGCCGTCGGGGCCTGGAGACCGGCCCTACGGCAACGCGCGGGCCGGATTCCCTCCCGACAACAGAATTTCGTTCTCGACGGTCGAAACGCGTTGTTGTCGGTAGAAGCTGAGATCTCGACGGGTCGGTGCGCGTGGTTTCCATACTGTTTTTGTCCGCATGCAAGGGCCCTGCAACAATGCCGTTGTAGGGCGAAGCCTCGATCCTGACGGTTCGCCCTGGGGCGCTCGTCGGAAACGCGCCCCGCGGAACCCCCGGGGCGCTGCCCACGCCCGCCCGCAACGACAGTCGCCCGAGTCGCTTGGCCCGTGCCAGACTGCAGCGCGTGACGTGCACACCCAAAGATGCCAGGTGGTTTCCCACGGGACTTGCGCCCCAGCCAGGCCTTTGGGCGAGACCCGGGTGCTCTTCCCTCCCGGCTCCGAAGCGTGCTCTTGTTCGGCCGGATCCGGCTTGGACAGCACGCAGGCGCAACGCTCCTGGAGCCACGCCTGGCTCATCGCGGTGATCATGAAAGAGAAAAGGCACGATGCGCCGAAACGGGCGAACCGCATGTACGAAGGGGAACTGGGACACACAAATACATAGACACAAAGAACCAAGCTCCCTTATGTTTCCCCATATTTTTGGGGTTTTTGTCTTCCCCCCCACTTCCCAGATGTTCCCATATGTTCTGGGAAGCGACGAATATAATTGTGTCTGTGTGTTTCTGCCCCTCCTGAGATGTGGGCGCGACCGGGGCCCGCGCTGCACCCAACATCGTGGCGCCACGCCCCCGCTGCATCGCGGCGGCACGCCGTGGGGCTCCTGCAAGAGAGAGAAGCCACGATGGGGCCGAGAAGCAGGCGAACCGCCCGAGGCATCGCCACCAGGAGGGCGCGGCAGGGCCCGTGACGCACCCTCTGGCGCCACACGCACTCTCTCTCTCTCACACACACAGACACACACACACACACCAGGGGTGCCCAAATGCTAAACACGCACGCACAGAGTCGGACGATGTAGCCGAAGGCTCGACACAGTTCGACATGCCGCCGCTCCCTGAACCTCTCCCCCGAGTGCGTCCTGGCCACGAGCTCCGAGGCGGATCCGAGCGCACCGACGAGGGACTCCCAGGAGGCCCAACAAGGCCAACACGAGGCAAAGGTACCTGAACAAGATTTCGAGGCAAATCCAGCCGCGTCAACGGGGTGCCCTAAATATTAAAACGAGGCAAGGGTAGCGATGCCAGAGGCCTTCCAGGTGGGGTCGGAGTAGGTGGTGTCGGAGGATCGCGCCGCATCCCCGATGCATCATCACCGACACATCGGCGATGCATCGGCGACTTCGGCGTGGAGACAATCGGGTTCCACATCGAGCCGCATCGCCGATGCATCAGCGATACGGTGCCATCCTCGTACCCCATTTGCTCGGACATAATCTGCGAGGCCTCTGGATAAATCTATTCTGCGTTTGGTAATAAGCGTGGTGGCGGAGTGGGCGCCACTCCCGCCGACAGCCTCATATCGACCGCCGTCGCTGGCAAATATTGCTGCCGACGTCGACCCCAATCGGCGCACGCCACCCGCCGCAAAAGCCAGATCCCTGGCCCACGGCCACGGACAGGTTGAAGTCGACCCCCGTAGCGGGGAGGACCCCCACCTGCAGACTACCTCCCTGAAGCCACGACCCTCTCCCCGAGACCGGCTCCTCATGCTGAGTCGTTTTGCAAGAGTCCCGGGCCTCGCGACGGCCCCAGAGAGGCCACAAACGACGAACAGCTTCCGTCCTGATTTGTTTTACGACGCGAACATCCCTGACCTTCCAGAGACCTATTTTTTAGCACGGGAGGCCTAAAAACCTAAAAAACAAAACGAAACAGCTTAAAACCAATACATATAATAGCTCTGGGATAGGTTTTTAAGTCGCGTGCTATTGTTTAGCCCTCCTGGAAGGTCAAGCATGCCTGACGCGCAGAAGAGGCCGGGTGGGGAGGCGCCTCGGCGCCACGGCGATCGCGCGGACGGCCGCGCGCAGCTTGCGGCGCGCCGTGGGCCAGGGGTCGGGCCCTTGGGCGGCCCGTGGCAGCGGTCGGGCCGGGCCGGGCTGGGCTGGGAGGAGGAGGAGGAGGAGGAGGATCTCGATCCTCGAGGTCCTCCCTGGGCCTCCTCTCCTAGACATGCTCGCGTCGTCCACAAATCCCAATGGAAAGGTGTGTGGCCGGCGTCGGACCATGGGGGCCCTCGCCAGACGCCAGGACCGCCAAAGGACCACTCAGGATGAGCAGCCGGCCCCGGGGAAGGGTTGGGACTCCCGGCAGCACAGTACTGATCAAATCAAGGCGTCGGACGTGTGTGCTCCACCAAAGAAGTCACGACGGACGGTTTTGTTGGCACTGCACGGTCTCTGGGGGGGCCTTGCCAGGCGCCCGGGGCCGTCGAGGAACGACTCGGCGTGATAGTCGGGTCCCGGGGAACAGGTCGAGACCTCCTAATGTCCGTGTTGGGAAAAACCACGACGTCGGAGGCACGGGTCGGTCCTCGGTCATCGGTTGGTCTCCGACCCTGCGGCGTGCTGCGCACAACGCTGGGCCGCTTCCGCCCTGCGAGGGGGGGGGAACCATACTTTTTGGCGTCGCGGCCATACGCGCAGCGACTCGGCGGACTGAGGCGGAAAAGCGCAAGTCGGGGGAAGCCACGCATGGCTTGACGTGTGGCTCGGATGAGCGTCTTCAATGCCATCCGCTCGATCTACTTCAACGGAGCATCTCAATTAACGACTGTGGGGCCGAACACCTCGGGCTCTAGACCAGTGGCGAACGCCCTGGATTAAATATCCACGCAGCCGGCTACGCAGAGTGAATGTGCCAGCTCACTTGCACCACGAGCTGCATCATTTGATTCGAAAGGAAGACGCGAGCGAGAGACATCGCCGACTCGAATGCGAGACACAACGCGGTTCTCAATTAGGAGAGCGTCGAACTGAAAGTCAGAAGCTGTTCTCGTAGCACGGATGCACGGATGCAGGGTTCGCCCCAGCCTGGACCGTTGACGGGACCTTCTCAAGCTTTTTGCACTGGAGCTGCAACATTCAATTGACCATAGATGCTGTATGCAAGCCAAGCCTTGTGCTGATGAGCACCAGGTCGTCGAACGGACTATTTGACATGCCAGCACTTGCGGCGAGGCTGTGCAATGCAGGTGCGCGCCCGAAGTCAGTTGGACCGAACGGGGCGCCCCAAACCGAAGAAACCAGTTGCAGATGAGCCCGTCCCGCGTCGAACTGCTCAAATCTGTCGCTGGGATCCGGACGGGGGATCGAAGAGGAGGAGGATCAGTAGCTGAGGCAGCCGTCCATGCCCGAACAGCCGCTCGCGACGCGGGCGGCCTCGCCGCCGCCCAGGCCGCCCCCCTGGGAGGGGCGCCGGGGAGACGACAAGGAAGGCAGCTCTCTTGACCTCTGCGGGAGGATGCGGACGCAGGGCCCCCACGGCGTCTCACCGGACCCGTTCAGAAGGGCTGCCTGCGGCAGCGGCTCTCCACATGTTTATAGATATGTGTCTGTCTGTATGTCTGTCTGTCTGTCTGTCTGTCTGTCTGTCTGTCTGCATGTACGATATATGTATGTATATATGTACGTATGTGTATGTATGTGTGTATGTATGTATGTATGTACGTATGCATATATGTATGTATGTATGTATGGATGTATATATGTAAGTATGTATGTATGTATGATTGTATGTATGTGTGATTGTATGTATGTGTGCGTATGTATGTCTGTCTGTCTGTCTGTCTGTCTGTCTGTCTGTCTGTCTGTCTGTCTGTCTGTCTGTCTGTCTGTCTGTCTGTCTGTCTGTCTGTCTCTGTCTGTATGTACGATGCATGTATGTATGTATGTGTGTGTGTCTGTATGTGTGTATGTGTGTATGTATGTGTGTATGTGTGTATGTATGTATGTGTGCATGTATGCATGTATGCATGTATGTATGTATGTATATATGTATATATGTATGTGTGTATGTGTATGTGTGTATGTATGCGTGTAGGTATGCATGTATGTATGCGTGTATGTATGTATGTATGTATGTATGTATGTATGTATGGTTGTATGTATGTGTGTGTATGTATGTATGTATGTGTATGTGTGTATATATGTATGTGTGCATGTATGTATGTATGTATGTATGTATGTATGTATGTGTGTATGTTTGTGCGTATGTGTGTATGTATGTCTGTATGTCTGTCTGTCTGTCTGTCTGTATGTACGTATGTATGTGTGCATGCTTGTATGTATGTGTGTATGTATGCATGTATGTATGTATGACTGTATATACGTCTGTATACATGTATGTATGTACGTATGCATGTGTATGTGTGTATGTGTGTATGTGTGTATGTGTGTGTACGTATGTACGTATGTATGCAGACATGCATGCATACATGCATGCATGCATGTATGTATCATGTGTGTATGTATGTGTGTATGTGTGTATGTGTGTATGTATGTATGTTTGTATGTGTGTATGTGTATGTGTGTATGTTTGTATATGTATGTGTGTATGTATGTATGCATGCATGTATGCATGCATGTATGCATGTATGTACGTATGTGTGTGTGAATATATATATGTATATATGTATAGGTATGTTTGTATATATATATATATATATATATATGTATGTATGTGGGGGGGCGCCATCCGCGCTGACGGCAGCGCGGAACACGAGGATGAGGAGGCAGGATGAGAACGTCCGAGAAAGACGGGTCGCGATCCGGGAAGGCGGCCCCCCGGCAGCGGCCAAGGGACGCGGCCGAGGCCCGGGCCGGGTCGCACGACGAGGCGGCCCTGCTCCTGGGGCGAGGCGGGCGGGGGGAAGGGAGCAGGGAGCAGGCGAGGGCCAGGGGGGAGCAGAAGGGAAAAGGGAGAGGGGGGGAGGGAGCTTCCAGCAGCCGCCGAGGTCCTGCCTGGCCGTCCCCGCCGCGCGGCCCAGCTCGATGTGGACTTTCCGCGCGCCGCGCTCGCCGCAGGCTGCGTGGACCTCCTCGTGGCGGACTGCTGCGGCGACTGCTGGGGCCTGATGATAGGGCACCACACCTTGGAGCTGGAGGCCGCCAAAGACAAGCTGGCGAGTGCCAGGCAGGCAGCAACGAAGGAAACGTTCTCCACTTCCGTCAGGACGCTCGTCCTTTCGGCATCGGAGCGGGACATCTCTGCGGCGTTGGGCCTCGAGCAGCCCCTGTACACGCCGATCCCTGAGACAGAGGTGTCGGAGTACGCGGCTGTGCTCTACAAGCAGGCTGTGGACAAGGTAGCCAAGGAAGTGGAGACGAGGAAGGAGGAGCAAGCAAAGAAGAAAGCAAAGGAGGATGAACAGGAGATGGAGCGGCTTCGCCTTGATCCTGCCAACATGCTTGAACAGGTCATTGATGCAAGGATCGCGGATAAGTTGAAAGACCACCCATCGGATCTGGACGAGGACATGAACGGCGAGACACCGCCTTCTTCAAAGACCTTGTGCAACCAGCTGATGGCAAAAAACGGATCTCCCCCGGCTGCGAAGTCGGGGAAAGCGAAAGGCAAGAATGGCGAAGGCAAGGGCAAAGGCAAGTACACTCTCAAAGGCGACCACGACAAAGGGAAAGGCACATCTACACACAGCAAGGGTGGCAAACAAACAAAAGGTGGGAAAACGGATGGTGGAAAAAACGGCAAGGCGGATGGAAAGGGCAAGAGTGGCAAGAAGGGCAAGCCCGGCAAGGGCAAGGACGGCAAGCACGGAAAAGGTTACGACAAAAAACATGGAGGGTACAACAAAAAGTGGCAATGAGGCATCGTGGAAACATTCGTTGGATGGCCAGGCTAACACAGGGCTTGGACGCAGGCGACATTCACGTTTTGCTGAATTGGGACACTTGGGCTGAAAGAATTCAGTTGTACAATCCGCGTGCGAAATGCATGGAACCCATTACAGACATACCTTTGCCAATCAAGTGGCTGATCATGCGACGACACCGAAAGCACCGGTTTCAATCGCGATCTCTTCCTTCGTTGGCTGCTGCTCGGATGCATTGGCAACACTTTTCCGATCGACTCAAATGGAAATGGTATTCAAAGTTCTTTCCTTCTGACAATCCATTGCCCTCAGGTCCAAAGCCCCCTTCTCCATGCAGATTTTCTCAAACAAGCAAGGCTCGTGAAAAAAACGAGTTCTTCGAGTTGGAGACTTGGATCCAATGTGCAGGGCGTTGCTATATGAGAGCGGTCTCAAGAGCGAGATCGAGGGCGAAGTTTGCTCCCAGAGACTTTTCGAACACATGTCCGCTCGAGAAGTTGGCGCTCAGACTTCTGAGACAAAGCGGGTACACTGCCATCCCTAACGATAAGAATGGCAGTTTCTCCTTCGTTCGACGCGTAGACCTTCCGGCAATTAGCTCAGAGATCCTAGGCTCCAGTAAGTATTTTGAGACAAGTGCCATTGGGCTGAACCAGGGGGTTAGAGCACGATATAGAACAATTTGCAAATGGGTTGCAAAAGAAATTGATGACCGTAGATTGGCTTCGAATCTCATGCGGTCCGCTTTCTTCCCGAAGGCCACACATGTAAGTAGGCTGCTGGTGCTGGTTAAAAGCCACAAGCCTCAAGGGGAGGTCGTTTGTCGACCAGTCCACGCGTCGCCAAATTACGTATTCAGCAGCCTCAGCCACTGGTTGATCCCAGTATTGAGGGCTAAACTGAATGTGAGAGCACCTCATCTTCTCAAGGATTCTGGCGACTTGGTGTCGCGCCTGTCCCGCATCAAGCCAACGGGCAGGTGGCATATGGCTAAGGTGGATGTCAAAGATTTTTACATGTGCGGAACAAGAGAAGAGATATGTTCAGAGGTGCTTTCTCTTTGGGAAGATTGGGACCCAATGAAACGGATAGTGGCTAAAGTTGTGGAGTTCCTTCTCGAAGCGCAATACATTGCCGACCCATGGGACGAACCCCATGACACGGTTCACGGGGTCGGCACTGGGACAGGGATGGGGCTCCCACACTCAGGAGACTTAGCCGACGTAACGCTTCTAGCCTTGATGGAAATCAAATTGCTCAAGCGCGAAATCCTCAACCACCATGGTATTGAGGGTTACTTCCGGTTCCGAGATGACATTCTTATCTTGGGGAGTGGGCTGGCTTCTATGACGAACCAGTTCTTCAGACAAATGCAGGAACATGCGAAGTTTTACCCTCTGACAATATCTTGGGACATGTGGGATATGCAGTATTTGGAGGTTGTTGTGCACAAGCGGGAGGGGAGATTCGAGGTCTCTCATTTCTTGAAGCCGTCATCTCTGCTCCCCACGCTTTCTCCTAGCAGCGCACACCCAGAGCAAATACATAAATCATGGCCAGGAGCATTTGCCCATAGAGTCCGTGGTCTGTGCAGTAGTGATACACTCTTCCATGTTGCTACACAGTCTGTCAGAGAACGCATGCGTGTAGGATACACCCACACATATACCAGAGCTATTTTTGAGCAGGCCATTAAACAAGTGTCATGCCATAGAGCTGGCACGGCCAGGCTTAAGCAGGTTCCATGTGCATGGCTCGTCCTCGGATACCATCCTGTGCTGGTCGCCGAGATGCGATGCCTCATTTGCCAGTTGAACACGAGTGAAACACTCAGACTTCTGTTTGCAAAGGCCTTTCGTTCGCGAATGGGGGAGTGCCGGCAAGCAGTGGGTCTGAGCTGGCGCAACAGCGCGCCTTCGCTCATATCGGTAGTTGTTTCCACAAGCATGCATGTTCATTAACGGTGTAGTGGATGGGGATGGTGGTGGTGTGCTGTTGCTGCACATCCATAGCCTTTGGGGCTCTAGCTGAGCAGATCGTAAGGCAGGTGGCGAGCACGCAACCGCTCGCCGGCCTCAAGGGAAAATAATCATCACGCTTTGACCCTTCTCGCTCATTTGTGTGGGAGAGGGGGGGAGGGAGCTTGCAGCAGCCGCCGAGGTCCTGCCTGGCCGTCCCCGCCGCGCGGCCCAGCTCGATGTGGACTTTCCGCGCGCCGCGCTCGCCGCAGGCTGCGTGGACCTCCTCGTGGCGGACTGCTGCGGCGACTGCTGGGGCATGATGATAGGGCACCACACCCATACTGACTACCTACCAGACCAACCCAACCCAACCCGAAGACCCGAATCTCGGGTTGGGGAGGGTACGGGTTCCATGTGTTTTCTCTATGTTCCAGGACCCCCCTCACTGGAAATCGAAGATAAATTGGGGCCTTCGGGTTGGGTTGGGGTGGTTTGGTGGGTGGTGACATACGGCACCAGCCACATGTCACCAGAACGACAACTGCGGGTGGGGCCATGCTGCGCACTTCTCGCGCAGCTGGTGGCTCCGATGGGAGGCCCTGCGCGACCGGGCGGCGCCCTGAGGTTCGCGCCTCTTGCTGCAAATCTCGAGAGGAACCCCTGCAAGTGCTGGCCCAAGTCCTGCCATGCCCTTCGTCCTCTCGTTCCGCTCTGCCGGTTCGAGGTGCTGCCGGCGGTCTGACGCTGCACTTCGGCATCGCGGCGTGCGTTCTCCCGCGCGTCCTCGAGGCTGTGCCCGGTAGCCCTGTTCCTGGCTGCCGCGCGCCCTGCAGGAGCTCACGACCACTTGGCCCGACCGCTGCCATGGCCTCCGCTCCCGCTGGCGGGGCCCGCTCGCTGGCGTCTTCGGGGCGTCCCGCCGGCGGCCACGTGACCGCGGCGCCATCCCGCTGGCGCCCTCGGGGCGGCTGGCGCCATGGCTTGCCATGCCGTGGACATGGACCTCTGCCGCCTCCACGCCCGTCACCGCATGGGCGGCCCGGGTGGCGCCGCGCCAGCGGGGGCGAGGCGTCCAGCGGTGTGCCGCGCCTGCTGCCGCGCGGCCCCGCCCTTGGCGGCGCCGCGCGGGCTCCTCGGCGGCCCGCTCGAACCGCGCCCCTCGCCTGCCATCCTCCCCCTTCTCGTCCACCACTTCTCCCCGCGAATCCTCCCCTCCCTGCTCCTCCTCCTGCTCCTCCCTCCCCTCCTCGGCGAAGGCGGCCCTGCGCACGGGCGGGCTCCTGCGGCTGCGCG